CCTCTAACATATTATTATGCAAATACTTAATATGGAATGTGGGAAGGAACTGTAGCAAATTGAGATCACAAAGGCAAAAAACCTGTCGACATTTGCTAAGCATTTGCCACATGCGCAAATTGCTTCATGTCTGCGGTGTATAGATCCATGGACCTCCATGGACGCATGCAACTGCCAATGGTGGGTGACCCGGTTGTCGCGGCTACTATGTAGTCACGTAATGAGTCAGCATTAGGCTAATATCAGCAATCTACTAGGACCCGCGTACTACATCACTACGCTGATGGCGATATACATTTCGTTACGGAGTATGAAGTATACGGTTCAATTAGAAAGCCTACGCTCGAGTGTGACTGAGTCGCCGTGACTGGATTACAATCACTTGTCACACTCGTCGATCGCGGTGGGCTTGCTTCACCGAGAGAGCGTCTCAACTTAGCGTCTCCCACTGTGGTGCTCTTTCTTCATCTTAGCGTTGGTGTATGGATGCAGACAGCTGGATAATGAGGCAGGCAAAATGTGCTCATTGACATTGTGTTAGTCTTCACAAGTCTCTGCACCAGCAGCAGAAACCTTCAAGACCAGGATATCCAGTGATAACCTGAAGTTAGTACTGGGTAGGTTGCTTCAATGATGCGTATGCCCTTCGATGAATCGTTGAGATGATCAAATACGCGCTGCAGGATCATCGAATCTGCATGACTGAATTACTTGCTAAGTGTACCGTTCAGTAACTCAGCTAACCGCACTTTAATGTCAGTTACTCGCTCACGGTACAACGCTTGACGACAGACTCCGGGGACCTTATTTGTTCGGGCTCTGTTTCTCAGTATACCTGCGCAGTTATAGCTTGATCGACTGAAGCCACGGTTCATTGCGGCAAATGTAAGTTTGTTTTATGCGCGCAGTGCCAGTCTCAGCTGAAGTACGCAACTGGTTGTGTCGTAGCGAAGATGGAATCAACATGTTACATCTTGCGCTGCTCGCCTCAATTGCTTGAACGCTTGCTTTCTACCGTGGACACTGCTGATCTCGCCCAGGTTCAATTGGTCAGTCCACGAACCCAGACGTTTTATTTGCTGTATAACAATAGGAATTTCTTTCATCAGACCTGCAGGACGTTTCGTGACATTATCATGAGAAACGTGAACCTGCGATATAAAATAGAGCTTCAACTGGAAGGCTTGCGTGACAGCCCTGGATGCCAACTCACTACAGACGAGCGGCTGATCATGCTCATCGAACGTCGCAAGCGGTGGTTGACCTTCGATTGGCGCGAGAAGCTTACTATCAGGTCCTGTTCAGAATCGCCGAAGCCCATTGCTTACATGGGAGCTACTTGGAGGCTACCTAATCGAATTCCAGGAGAGGACAACGATGATACGGACGCTCCTGCCGCCAGATTTCGGTAACGTCCCAAAAAACCAGCACCAGACGCATGGACATTATCGTTAGAAATGTGTGCGCAGATCCCTTGCAGGATCTGATTATGATCTTGGATACAAGTGGACAGTATGTAGTCCCATTGATTGTCTCGGGAAGAATCGCTCATTGCTGGGTAACAGAATGCATCCTCGTTCTATTTCGACGAATCAACATCATCCATTGGCTCACTTGGAGACGCTACCTCACCAAGTGAAGGGTTACATGGACGTTACGACCGTTCTGGTCGCCGATGACCTCGCCTGCCTGAGTGTATGCGGTGATGAGTCTAGTGTCCTGGTATGGAACTGGAAGTTGGGATTGCTGATATTGGTGAGCACATAGGCACATTCAATGGCATGCGACTGAGACTATCCTAGCATGAAAACATATCCAGACTCTACATGCCCTATTTCACGTTCCTCTCAAGCCGCGCCTTTGTAATGATGGAATATCGAGGTTTCGGTGCCATCAAAATCTATACATTGACCAATGACCAATGTTCCGGTGCCCAACAAATGGCGATACGTGACCTCATCCCTGTAGCGTCTCTACAATTGCCGCCTATCACACCTCGATGGTCGGTGTTGGACTTCCACGCAGATATTGGGCCTTTACTTGTTCACGTGATGCCTGGACAACCCTTCGCGTCGGAGCCCGACGAACGCATTCTGCAGTTCAAGATCCAATATGAGACGAGAGATATGAGAACTCTGACGGACTTCTTCTACCTGTTCGTCCACAGCAGGCACCTCCTCTCCTACAGGAAAAACGGTCCTGTTGACCAGACTGTAGTCGTCCCATGGGCCGAATGGGGTCCTATTCATACGAGGTTATTGCAGATGCCTGTGAGTAAGCTACAATGGTCCCGGTAAGTGATGATATTTTGTCATGTAAAAGCTGCTAACATCTTTCGTTTCAACGTGATGATCCGGGGGTCTTGATTGGGCAGGTTTTTGAATGGCCAGAAGGCGTTATATGGTTCCCACATATCAGATACGACAACTCGCGACTTGTACATCTTGGATTTCAATGTCCACCCACGTCGTCTGCGCGATCTGGAGAATACGCCGGATACTCTTTCCTCAGGATCAATTGATGATGCTCTGATTCTAAACGAAGGCAGACGTGGCGAAGGCAGACGTGCCAAGGGCAGATTCAAGGTCATTCGCACGCCTTCAATCATCGAGGGGAAGACGCTATTTCAAGAGGACGTTGTCACTTCCTTACCGTATATCAAGTCCATTCGCGCAGTTCAGAAGGGATCGATAAATGGCTACATGCTTGACGAAGACAGAATTGTGGAGGTATGTACCTCATATGACAAATCGCGTGTCCGTTGACTCCTTGCATTGACGGTTTACAGCTTTGCACGACGAACAGCCTGCCTTCGCTGATGCATGCCATCAATGCCTACATCTTTTGAACGCCACCTTGGCATTGATACCGTTCCGCGGAGTCGCTTAAGGCGATGGGGTATCTTGACAACTGCATGCTGTAAACAATGTCCGCAACTCGGCTACTTTTCATATGCTATCTCATTTGCAAATGACGATAAGCCACAGCTGGCAATGGATCACGTAGAGCGTCAATCGAACATTTAAGACAACGCAGTCTAGCTTGTAAGGACTGTCACTCGCGACTCAGGGCCTGGTCAGCGTCGCGATGCCAAGTCAAAGCTGGACGTTCGGTGCACCGAGGTACATCGGCATGGCTATCAGCAGGCGCTAATCTTGAGCGCGCTTGTGCGGTTATCATATCTGGGGAACGCGGATTCTTCTGTTCCTTATCTGACACCCCCCAAGTGGCTATATATCACACGCGATGTGCTCCGCTTACCCACAGCGCGCTCTATTCCTTCACTGCTACAATCATGACGGACTCGATGAGCTCCAAGGATGCGCGGATTGCAGTGGGAACAGTCATGGAAACTGACAACGACGAGGCCGAGCTCGCGAGAATGGGATACAAGCAGGAGCTTAAGTAGGTCGCGTGGCCTGAAACGTATTATACAGACCTAATGTTATCCAGACGAGAGTGGGGGCTATTGCAGGTAAGTAAATGTACACTATCGATGGATGGTCATGTAAAGTTGAAAATCATCGTGCAGAACTTTGGTGTCTCCTTCTCGATCATCAGTGTAATCACTGGTGTCAGCTCCCTTTTTGCATATGGCTTGGTGGGTGCCGGTCCTGTGAGTCGATGGACGTCCTGACTAATTAACTCCGTTAGAGCACTGGTGGCCCTGCGGTTATGGTTTGGGGATGGGTTGTCGTATGTACGTTAGATTGATGTCTTCAAGTTTTATTCGACACTGATTCTCTGTGATTGCAGCATGCTTTACAACACTTGTCGGGCTTGCCATGGGAGGTGCGTTATGGTACTGTCTTTTGACCCATCTCGCTCTAAGGCCTGCTTGCAGAGGTGTGCAGTGCACATCCGACAAGTGGCGGGCCATATTTCTGGGCTGCTATGTTGACGAAACCCGAGCATGCAGCCTTTGCCTCATGGATCACCGGCTGGTTTAATTTGCTTGGTCAAGTGGCTGTCACCACCGGTATCAGGTTTGTGACGCTCGCGCCCATGGAGCCACATGGTTGAGAACTCATCCTGCCTCAGTTTCGCGTGCGCAACCTTTATTTCGACGCTGGCAACGTTCGACACGGATTTCGTTCCAGAGGCAAGGATAACTATTGGGATATATGCCGCAGTGCTCATCGCACAGGGTTTGATCAACACTTTTGGCGTGCATCTGCTGAAGTACCTGAACAATGTCGCCATATTCTGGAATGCACTCGGAACGACAGCACTCGTTATCGCGATTCTCGTTACCGCGCCCAAACACCAGACTGGCCATTTCGTGTTTCAGACTTTTATTGACAATACGGGTATTGACGGTATGGGATGGAGCCAGAGGGCCAGTCCTGCATATGTCGCCGTTATCGGAATTCTCATGGCGCAGTATTCGCTGACAGGTGGGTGTTCCAAGCCATTCAGTCAAACAGTTTGCTGACTATCGCAGGATTTGATGCCAGCGCTCATGTTAGTTTGGATCTCAATCATACGACCTCGAGTAGCGGTCGCTTACGCGGATGAATCCCCAGATGACTGAGGAAACGCACAATGCCGCAGTGTCCGGTCCTGTCGGTATCGTCATGGCCATTACAACGTCTGCTGTCCTGGGATGGTTCCTTATCCTAGGCCTCCTTTTTTCCATCCAAGACTTAAACGCCACTGTCAGCACATCCACTGGAGAACCTGTGGCCCAGATATTCTTGGACACGGTAGGCGAAAAGGGTGCCATCGTACTCATGGTGCGTATCTAGCAGGCATTATCGCTAGCTCCTGTTGTCTTTGCTTACTGGTACCTCAATTCGGGGTTAGGTGATCGTGATTGGCGCCATGTTTTGGTGCGGAGTGTTCTCTATCACATCAAATAGCAGGATGATGTATGCTTTCGCCCGGGATGGCGGCATTCCGGGCCATAAATTCTTCCAGAAGGTCGATGTGAAGCGCAGAACCCCTATTCGCACAGGTATGCAATTTGCAGGAATCTCATGTCCATGTTCCAATCAATCGACGATGTGCAGTATGGCTGGCATGTACCCTGAGCTTCTGCCTAGGCTTACCGAGTCTGGGTAGCTCGGTCGCCTTTTCAGCTGCAACAAGTATTGCCACGATTGGGCTGTACATATCCTATGGTTCGATTACTTTACTTTCTCTGCGGATGGCCCTTTCCTCAATCCGCTCTGTTTTCACTTACAGGCATTCCGATAGCATTGCGTGTGATCTACGCCTCCCGGTTTGTCCGCGGACCTTTCCATCTTGGCCGCTTCTCCTTCCCTGTTGCAATCGCATCAGTCCTTTGGATCTGCTTCATTACCATTGCATTCATCTTACCCGAAGAGAACCCAGTCAACTCTCAAACGCTGAACTACGCCATTGTAGCCGTCGGCATTGTCGTAACGTATAGCCTCGGATTTTGGATGTTGAGTGCACGGAAATGGTTCACTGGACCTGTGAAGCAAGTTGCTGGTGAGTCATTGCACCAGAACCACCGTAGAGGCACATAGTTGATGCGAAATCCTCTGCAGCTGAGGAAATGGGCATCGATGTAATGAATCCAGGCGAGCTGGAGAAGCACGTCGATGGCAAAATATCATAGAGGCTAACGTGGCATGCACCTTGCGCTTAATATTTCGTTTATAGCTTCACAGTTCTGGCTACTTCTGCATGAAGGGCTAGCTACGATTCCTTTCTTCACCTGTACGGTATGCATCGGCTCTGTCACAGATTAACTTCAGTAGGGCCTTCACTGTAGATGTTAGCGCCGGAGAATCGGAGCGTCTGCACTTAAAATAAGAAAACAGCTAATCATTTGATACACATCTTGTTTTCCTTGAGCGCACCCGATGTGAAGAATCGAGCAAGCCTGGCCTTTCAAAATGAATGATTACAACATCAATATGATGAAGGGCAACAGTAACGCTGAGCGCTTACCGACGAACTGAAAGCGCCCACTTCTTGTACCTGAGCCATCACCTTTCTTTCCCGGTTTTGTCTCAAATACGCCTCTTAACTTCATTTTCTGCTTGTCTTCCTCGTTTGTTACCCGTGAGTACTCGTGTCTCCATGGTTCTGCTAATTTTGACCTGTATTGCAGCTCCTTCCACGGTACACGTGGCCACCACGGGCCACCCCATTGTCCCTCTACCTTTAGCCTTTTCAAGCTCGATTCAACTACATTTACCACTCGCAGATAATAGTCACCTTCAAGGAGATGTCGTCGAAGGGGGTCGCATTGCTCGTATGGGTGTTCTTCGTCCACTTGGCTGGCATCTACCTCTACACACGTGGATTCCTTCTCACTCGCCTATCCTTGTCGGAACGCAGCGGATGTGAAGGTGGACCATGTACTCTGCAGCCTACACACAAGAGGGCAGTGGTGCTCATCATTGACGCGTTGCGATTCGACTTTGTCAGCCCAGACCCTCCACAACCACCCTCACCGTATTACCACAACGTCGTGACTTTGCCTGGGCAGATGACCGCTGCCCAGCCTTCCCAGTCCTTCCTTTTCGACACGTATGCCGATCCGCCAACGACGACACTGCAGCGCATCAAGGGTATCACGACAGGTTCTCTTCCTACATTCGTCGACATTGGGTTCAACTTCGGGGCAACGTCAACAGACGAGGATTCATGGGTCAGTCAGCTGAAAGATGCAGGCAAGAACGTGCGTATCACTCTGTATTGCTCATCTCGCTCGGCTTACGACTGGCAGCGCTAGGTGGCCTTCATGGGCGACGACACATGGTCCGCTGTATTCTCAGACAAGTTAGCACCCGACATGACGTTTCCGTTCGACTCTTTCAACGTGGAAGATTTGCACACAGTGGACAACGGCGTCATCCGGCACCTCCTCCCGCTGATGAGCAATGCATCAGCACCGTGGGACGTGATTATCGGACACTTTCTCGGCGTGGACCATGTTGGACACCGTGTCGGCCCTGACCGACCCACGATGCACAGCAAGCTGAAGCAGATGGACGACGTGCTCCGACGCGTGGTCGCGCTTCTTGAGGATGACACATTACTTATCGTGCTCGGCGATCACGGAATGGATCGGCTGGGAGACCATGGAGGGGAGGGCGCACTTGAGACATCCGCGGCACTGTGGATTTACAGCAAGATTCCGCTGAGCGCGCACACGGATGCCATCCCGTCTGAACTGCTCACGACACGGATGTTTCCTGGAGCCTCCGTCGCTCATCGGTACGTGCAACAGATCGACCTTGTACCGTCGCTTTCGCTGCTCCTTGGACTCCCCATTCCATACAATAATCTCGGTATGGTCATTCCGGAGCTGTTCTGGCGCGACGCGCAAGGGACAGAGTTTGAAAATGCCCTCGAATTAAACGCACAGCAAGTGAAGAGGTATCTCGACACGTATCGCGCGAAGCCGGCGGGCGGAGAACTCGACAGCTCGTGGGCGGAGTTGCAGGAGCGTTGGGTAGCTGTGGATGCTGCAAGTGGAGAATCGGGTAAGACCAGGTCGTTCCTGACAGAGGAGTACGTGCGCGCGGCGTTGGAGGCATGCCGTCTGATATGGGCAAAGTTCAACGTGTCGCTGATCGGGTTGGGACTCATCTTGCTCGCTGCAGGTATAGCTTCTTCTTGGGTACTGTATGTGAAATTTGGGGAGATGCAGGAAGAGTGGGGTGATTGGGCGGGGAAGGTCCGGAGGACCTGCACGATCTGGACGGCGGTAGGTGCTGTGGTAGGATGCGGCTCCTACTTCCTGCTGCGCGCTGTGATCAAGGGCGTTGATGCCCTCCAGTGCGTCATTTTCTGCGCCCCGTTTGCGTCCTCGCTCGCCGTTATCTTCACCAACAAGCCGTCGAGGCTCAACTTCAGCATCTCGTCTCTTTCTCTTCCCCTCATTCTTCACGCGCTCTCCTTCGCCTCGAATTCGTTCATATTCTGGGAAGACCGCGTCGTCACATTCCTACTGCTGTCGTCCATCGTCCCATCTGTGCTTACCGGATTCATGGCACCCACCGCACGCCTGCGCTACCGCATCCTTGGGTTCTCCGCGCTCTTCGCAGCGTGTGTCCGGCTGATGGCGATGAGCACCGTCTGCAGGGAGGAGCAGCAGCCGTATTGCCATGTCACGTTCTTCGCGTCATCCTCGCTCCCGGAGCCGCCATTGCTCATCCTCGTCTTCGCCCTCCCGGCCGCAATCGGGCTGCCGTTTGCGATTCGCACGTTCCTCAAGATATCGAAGAGTGACAAAGGTGTTGCAATGATCATCCTGCCGTGGTTGATGCCCATTGCCCTGCTGCAGGGTGCAATGCATTGGATTGTGGAATGGTTGGATAGCGCGGAGGTGTTTGGTCCGGGATATGACTGGATTTTGCGCCCGGGGCGGACGTTCCTCGCTCAGTGCGCGATGGGCAGCATCGTGCTGTTCGGCATAGTGATATGGTGGATGGTCCCACTCTGTCTCGAGATTAGCACAACGGAGAAGCAGACGACAGCGGCGAAGAGTGCTATCACGAGTGACGAGGCATCCAAAGAACCGAAGACGCAGGTCACCATTCTCGGGTTCGCCAATTCCTTCGGAGCGTCGTATCTCATCCTCTGGTGCACGATGCTGGGCCTGCTCTACGTCGCAACGCAGCTGACTGGACAGCTCATTCTTGGCTTGGCGACACTCGCCGTTCTCGCACATATTGAAGTGGTGGACAGCGTGCGCGACGTCCATGCACTCGAAGCGGCGTTCGCATCCGCGACGCCATCGCTCGCACTTGATGCTGACAATCGGCACAGCGAGCCAGTGTGCTTCTCTGAGATCGTGCCGTTAGCGCTGCTGGTAGTACATACGTTCTATGCAACGGGCCATCAATCGACGATCCCATCCATACAGTGGAAAGCTGCGTTTGTGTTGACGCCTACCGTCAGCTATCCATTCTCCCCATTCGTCCTTATTCTCAACACATTCGGACCCCAGTTCCTGATTGCGTTCGCTACGCCGCTACTCGCATTGTGGAACATTGCGCCGCTACCACAGCCGAAGGCGAGCGTGCGGGTGCGCGGGGATGCCGTGCGCGCGGGGCTGGGCATGATGCTCTATCACTCTGTGCTGCTGCTCGCAAGCGCGGTATGCGCAGCGTGGCTTAGGAGGCATCTCATGGTGTGGAAGGTGTTTGCGCCGAGATTAATGAGCGCGGCGGCTTCGCTTGTGGCAGTCGATCTAGCAATTCTGCTCGGAGTTGGGCTGGGCGTTAGCAGGGTTGCTGGACAGGTCTCGAAAATGTTTGGTGGAATGGGCTCAGCCCAAGGATCTGCCTCGGCTGAGCAAAAAACGAAGTCTTCGTAGCATAGAACATTACGTTAGTTCATATACCGCAAACATGAAAGGTGACAAATGGTGAGGAATCGTTTATTTTAAACAGCGCAGACCTGTTGTTCAAAGTCACCATTTAGGATCGGGTTTGAATTGCATAATTCAGGCCTCTTAATTAAGTACAAGGGTTTTGGATTGAACTGAGCGCTTATCGATGAATTGAAGGCGCGTACTCCTTGTTTCTGAGCCGTCACCTTTCTTTCCGTGCCTTGTCTCAAGTACGCCTTTAACTCCATCTTTGCCTCTATTCCGTTTGATATCTGTGAGTACTCGTATTTCCGTGGTTCGCGACTTCTGATCTCTGTCGCAGCTCCTTCGACAGTATACGTGGCCATCACGGGCCAACCCGTTGTCTCTCTATCTTTAGCCTCTTCAAGTTGCCTTCAAATATATATTTCACTCGTAGAGAATAGTCGCCATACAAGAAAATGTCTTCGAAGGGGCTCGTATTGCTCGTATGGGTGTTCTTCGTCCATTTGGCTGGCATCTACCTCTACACACGTGGGTTTCTTCTCACTCGCCTATCCTTGTCGGAACGCAGCGGATGTGAAGACGGATCATGTACTCTGCAGCCTACACACAAGAGGGCAGTGGTGCTCATCATTGATGCGTTGCGATTCGACTTTGTCAGCCCAGACCCTCCACAACCACCCTCACCGTATTACCACAACGTCGTGACTTTGCCTGGGCAGATGACCGCTGCCCAGCCTTCCCAGTCCTTCCTTTTCGACACGTATGCCGATCCGCCAACGACGACACTGCAGCGCATCAAGGGTATCACTACAGGTTCTCTTCCTACATTCGTCGACGTTGGGTTCAACTTCGGGGCAATGTCAACGGACGAGGATTCATGGGTCAGTCAGGTGAAAGATGCAGGCAAGAACGTGCGTATCACTCTGTGTTGCTCATCTCGCTTGGTTTCCGACTGGCAGCGCTAGGTGGCCTTCATGGGCGACGCCACATGGTCCGCTGTATTCTCAGACAAGTTAGCACCCGACATGACGTTTCCGTTCGACTCTTTCAACGCGGAAGATTTGCACACAGTGGACAACGGCGTCATCCGGCACCTCCTTCCGCTGATGAGCAATGCATCAGCACCGTGGGACGTGATTATCGGACACTTTCTCGGCGTGGACCATGTTGGACACCGTGTCGGCCCTGACCGACC